ACATTTGCAATAGATATCGTTTCACAGGTGTATTTTTAAAAAGAAAAAAAGAATCCCTAAAGAAATCCAACTAGGGTTAACCTGTTTATGGACGGTAATTGCAAACAACCATTCACACCCACTAGCACCGGCTTATACAGTTTTCGATATTTAACATGAACTGGTATAATTTTGAAACATCCGAAATTTTACGAACGTGTGTGAAAATGAAACACGAAAGATTATGTGTTGGTAAGTAATAATAGCTTGTCAATGTATCAAAGTCAGGCATTTTTGGTGAAATTATTGATTCTTTCATGAATGTCCAACAATCAAAAGAAAACAAACTGTCGCATACTGTGTTCTATTTACATTTTCATGAATTGAGCAACTTTGAGTTGTATCCCTTGTTATATTATATATAGCGAGAAAAAAAAATATGACAGAGGCCACTGTGGATATATCAAGATGCATCACGTAGAAGTGTCTATGTATATCGACGGTTGATCGCAAGAATGTTGTAAATCCTTATTTATTTCATATGATACTGTAGTTAAGCGGTCAAACCTCACTTCATGGCCCGTTGAATGTTTTGATCAGTGACCTTGACCTTTTGACGTAAAGCTGTGTTTGGTTGGAATAACTTATCAAGGTGTCTCCACATGTGAAGTTTAATTGTTATAGGTAAATTAGAATTGGAATGAGTGACAAATAAAGTCCTATATAAGTCTATATAAAAGCAAGTACCCCCTTGGGTTGGGCGAATTTTGACTCATGTGTTATGATTAACATCTGTTTTGTTAAAGTTTACAACGCGATGCGAGTCTTTGCAGGAATATGTGTACCCAGGATATGCTGTCCCGAAATCGATCGATCTGTCACTATTAAATGTTCTGCCATTTTTTATTTCAGTCCATTTTGTTCGTCACATGAAGGACAAATAACTCAAACCAATAAAAAGAAGTGATATAATATACCTTTCTGTATGCGGTATCATATGCTATCTATTTTTACACGCAATCGATAACTAAAGGTTTAAAATCATTTGAGTAACATTTAAACAAATAAAAAGTATATATTTCTTTATCTGAAAAGAACTAGAAATATGTCCATAGGACACGAGTACCACCCACTCAACTGTTTTGTCAATCTTATGACTCAAGGTCAAACATTTTTGGCTACATGTGCCACAAGTTGAAAACAAAAAAATCGTTAACTAAGTTAAGGGCAAGAACTTTACAAATACTGCAAAAAAACCACAAGCAAACCCCAAGGTGCATAAGTACACATGCTGACCAAAATTCTTGTAAACTTTCAGGCCTACAGGTCAAATACGTTTTGAGCTATGCATGGACAAGTTGAAAATTGTAAATTTATACTATGTCAAGGGCAATAACTTGAACATTGCAAATTTATACTTATTCAAGGGCAATATCTCTACAAATACTGAAAACAATCAACACAAAAATACCCAGGTGCTCAACCACACATACTGAGCAACATTCGATTAAAGTTTCATGACTCTAGGTATCTTATTCAAAATTTAGATCATATAATAAAACATGTTATCATATGATCTAAATATAGCTGCAATTCCATTGGTCCAAACAGTAGGCAACAGAACTTTTTATAAAATCATATTCACTGCTTGTAGTATCATACTCACTGGCTGGATTGGCTTTTCCCAGCCTAAAAATAGATTGAGATTCATATTCAATGACCATACACCGTAGACTGTTGATAACGCGTGTTAATTAAAAAATAATTGTTGCGTTTTGTTCTTTATGGCACATTTCTGATTTGAAATATAATTACTTTACTATTATACTTAAAGCTACACCGCTATGATGAGTATAAACTTGAATTACTTTTGTACGCGCAGTATTCGCGTAGTCGTTGCACGTCTAACACGTGCATCTTTTTTCCGCGCTTCATCGATGCAAAATTTGTACATTTATATAAAGTTGACCTTTTTGTGATTTAAATAAAAAATCATTGCCAATTCATATAATAAAACAATTATGATGTGATATTCACCGGCAGAAAGTCATATTAACCTCGGCTATAATAATTGTATAATGTTATATAAATACGTAGCTTCTCTTATTCATAACAAACTTATCTAAATTAGCAATTATATTTTAAGAAAATAAGCATCATTGTTATAAATTTATTCATGGTTGGTCAAGCACAATCATATCAAGGTAATGTGTAGTATTGGTCATTTAGCTTTCGACGGTCGACTAGGCAATATCAGCTTAAAAAATTGACAAAAATGTGACAAGATATGTGTTGAGCATCAATGTTTCAATTTCAACCATCTAGATGTGATATATTTTGTATGATGATTTCATTGTCTGAATTTAAGATTATTTGTCTATGAATTTGTTAAAAAGAATATATATGTTTTGATACATTTATTACAGTAATTATGTATTGTTACATGTTATGATTGAAATGTGTAAGTATTACACTACTAACTGATCGTCCAACTGCTCCATACATATAATAAATTATCAAATAGTATTATAATGTTTGTTGTTTATTGTGAGAATATAGTATAAGTTTAAAGGAAATATTGAGTCCTAAGTTCACTATAGAATGGACAAACTAATAAAAAATGATATTCATTTTCTATTTAATTCATGTTGCATTTAGTACATATAACTGAATTTCTATCGATATTTCTATATTTTCCTTCAAATTATCAATTTATGTGATAAACATCTAAACCTTGTTAAAGAATTACGATGATTAGAATCATTTACAACATCTAAGTAACTTTCGTGGATAAATTTAAATAAACTGTGACTATATAATTTAGGGACACTTCTAAGTTCAGGACATCATTTTTGTAATTGTTGGTCATAAATTCTTTGTATGACATTACTTACTTGGATGTTTGTAATATTAACATTGTGTCATAAATTTCGAAAACCTAAATATGATTACATGTTGTCCATGAGTTTGTCTAATAACGAATTAAATATTTTATAAACATTTTTATATTTCTTTTGTGTCGGGGGCTTTCATAATTTTATACAAAAAACAATATTTTTCGACTTTTGCGACAGACTGTCATAGGAAATCTGCCAAATTCATCAAGTACTGCCTTAAATTTGTTTTAAGAATTTTAGGTGAACTTTAGCAATATATGATGAGTTATAAATGTCCTATATGCTGATAACCAAGTCAAAATTGGTAAAATCATATTATTAAATAGTATTGCTTTTGCGGATACATTGAAGGAAATATGATCAAATGATAGCTATGTTCTTTTTCATATGTGGTTGAATTTGATACTCACATACCTTTAACTTTTTTAATTTTGTGTCCATTTATGTAAGGTATACCTATCATCTGACATATTACAGAAAGTAATTAGAAGGTAATCATATCAGGCTATTTTTATGCGTCTTAGACCAGTGCCGTTTTTTATCCTATCTTACGTGTTCTAATTTAACCCATTCACTGTAACCTCGCTTATCTTATGAAAATAAGATCACTAACGTTATTAAATTGTAGAATATATAGATGTGGGTTGTCTTGAAAGCACTTTAATGAATATATATTTCGGTCTCAATGAAAAAAAGGGAATTTAAGGTGCAGTGCACCACAAAAAAAAAATAAAATAAAAATGAAAAAAGGAGAAAAAACAGACAAATAAAAAACAAAAACCCTACGTAGGCTTTGTAACAGTACAACATTCTTAATATAATATGCATAATGCAGCTTTGCTTTAAAACTTGATATCGATGAATATGTTGACATAATTGACGTCATCATTTCTTTTATTTAGGTTTCGACGTCATTTATTAATGAAAGCGTGTTGAAAACGGTATACTGTCGGTGAGTTGCTAAATAGACGATCTTAGGTTCTTTCAGATCATTGATTAAAAATGTATGGTTAGAAGGATTGAATACTGTTTACAATGTCTCCCTTGCATCAATGACCCCAAGTCTGCGGAATACTTAACTTTTACATGCTATGGTAATAAAAATAATATGAAAATAAAATTAAAATAAAATAAAATAAAAAAAGAAAGGAAAAAAGAAGAAAAAAAAACAAATAAAAAACAACAAAAAACCCTACGTAGGCTTATTAACAGTAGATCATTTTTAATGACGTTGTAATTATGCATAACGCAGCTTTGCTTTAAACCTTGATGTCGATAGATATGTTGACATAATTGAATTCATCATTTCTATTATTCGAGTTAAGACGTCATCTATGTTGAAAACGGTATATTGTCGGTGAGTTGATTAATAGACGTTCTTATGTTCTTTGAGATCATTAATTAAAAATGTATGGTTAGAAGGATTGAATACTGTTTTCATTGTCTCCCTTGCATCAATGACACCAAGTCTGCGGAATATTTTCCTATTACATGTAATTGTAGCTTTCATTGCACTCGAAGGGGTACCTTGTTCAAGAATGGGCCTAGCATGCGTTTTAAGTAAAGGTGACATTAAAACTATCAGAATCAAGAAACTGATAATATTATTGTATCATATAATTTGTTTAGTGTGTTACTCTTTCAAATAAAATATTTTCACACGTTAACAATTTGAAGATCGCATTGAGATATATTAAACCGTAAAGGTATTAATAAATGTTTGTTTATTTGATTTAAGGACGCTTTAACAAAAAAAGGTTATGATTCATACAGAGAGCATGGCCATTTGAGGTGTGACCCTAAATAGGAGTGTTCGTAAAGTGCTAGGTGTTCCGTTAACGTTTACTTTATTATTTGATCGTCAAAGTTAACAGTACAAATACATTACAAATATATCGGATGTGTCCTGATAGAACTGCATACTAGAGGCAAAATTATCTAATCATGCGGCCAGTACAAACCAGTCTGCAATGAGTTCATTGAAAATATTTAGATTTTTAAGTTAAAATAGTTTTTAACTGTTTAAAAATTATATTTGAATGATTAATTTGAACAGTCCTCGTATATTTTGAGACAGCTTTTATCTTATGCTAAACTAGGTGTCTGCGTAAATATAGCCCATTTCATACTGAGCGAGATAGAATACATACATGTATTTTAGAGTTGCAGAAATGTTGTTTTCATTTGCGTTATGTCTCATTTTAAATGGAGTGTTTGGAGAAGTACAAAATAATGAGCAAAAACGACTACTCTTACACAGTGATACGGATATAGCTACAGAGATTTTGACATTGAAAAGTCAGTTTAATGTACAGGCCTCGGAAATTAAAGCACAGGCTTTGGAAATTAAAGCACAGGCATCGGAAATAAACAGCCTTAAACAACAGCTGTACGCATACGAACATTCTGGAAAAGGTATGTTGGATGTAATACTAGTATTTTGTTTCTCTATCATAGAATAAGCATCTGAATACGACAGAGTGATCAGATTTACAAAATCCAGCAACAGCACGTAACAAAAATGTTTCTGAGACTCCGGTGACGCTTATTTTTATATTTTACTTAGCTGATTAACAAACATCAAAAAGCGCAAAATGAAATATTCATTGGCTTTCATTTCTTTAATAACGGGTATCCATCTTTAGTTTCGGTCATAACAACTTAACTTATATAAAACAATGTAATATAAGTAAATATATAGCTAATATTCTATATATTAAATTATTTTCGTGTTTAGGGTCATCATATGTTCGATGGGGTCGGACAATTTGTCCTGGAAATGGATCATCTGTGTTATACAAAGGTTTGTTTGGAAATAAATCATATAAATAAATCAGATAATTTTCTGGCCAGTTTAAGTTTCAAAAGACACGGGATATACAAACAGTTTAAAACGTTTGCTTAGTGCCGTTATTTTGCTAATAATGAGCATGAATAAGAAACATGTGGTTCTAATTGAATGTCAATAATTTATTTGAAAACTGATAAATACGTCGTCATGAAACTTTAAATAGCATTTTAGTAAAACATTGAAGCGTGCAAGTATGTTGATAATATGTATGTTATTTAATTGTTGTAAGTAAACATTTTGGGAAGACTGCACATCTGTCTTTGAAATTTGCTTAACGTCTTCATTTCACAGGATTCATGAGCGGTACATTCATACCAAATAATCATCAAAGTGGTGTAGGATCAGGTGCTAACTTCTTGTGTCTTCCAGAAATTCCTTTATGGGACCATTATACGAATACCAAAGACAATGGTATTTCGATAACAGGCGTTGAATACGCCTTTGACCCACATACATCAGATGCCGATCAAATACAATTCTTCGGATCTGCACTTGGATACAGTGAAGCTCCTTGTGTAACCTGTCATATCAACCGTGGATCAAACATTATGATTCCTGGTAGAACCGAATGCTTTGGCGGATGGACAAAGGAATACAGTGGATATTTGGTAGCTGGTTACCCGCGGTATGCAGATTCAACAGAATACATTTGTTTAGATAGAAGACCTGAAGTAGTTGCACACAGCGGAAACTACCACGGAGAAAACAGTTTGTTTTTCGTAGAAAGCCATTGTGGCGGGACGCTGGCTTGTCCTCCATACGTCGACGGCCGAGAACTTTCATGTGTGGTTTGTTCAATTTGATTTGAAATTGTAAATGAAGTTTTATTATTATCGGCCAACAATTTGACTCATTTTAACAAATAAACGCAATGCTTATATTCGATTTAATGCGTTTGTTTAGAGGTCGTTGTGCAAAGCGGTAACTCTGATGGTTAAAAGGGAGGTAATGATATATACTTCGTAGAAAGCCGATTTGGGGAATTCTTGCTTGTTTCCCATATATCACTGGTCTAGAACTTTCAAATGGGAGTTGCTTGATATAATATTAACGTCGATCATGGAAATAAATGCACATTAAAACGGTTAGGAAAATTAGAACCATTATTTAAAGGCACTACATAACATATTTTTATATGCTTATAGCGAATGGAATGCCCGTTTTCTAAACAATTCTCGACCAAGTCTTGATAAAAGTCTCGGGTACACATGCATTTTCAATAACCATGCTACTAAAAAATTTTAAAATGCTAGTCGTATTATATATTTACCTTTTTGTATTTCATACTATAGTGTAGGTAATAGTTAAAAATTATATAAAATTTCATGTATTTTGTACAGCTGGAGGTTTTTTATTTTTAATTCGCCACTCATTTTTAATGCAAATAACGGGTTTTATGTGCAAATTTACCTTAATAGCAATTAGTTCAAGATCCATCTCTCTGCAACCATAAGGGGAACAACTAGTAACAATATTTTATAGTATAGTATCATAATTATCTCCCCGAAAGTGTTGTGACTTTTTATGGCGTAAGTTAGTTCAAATATATGAAATAGCTTGAAGGAACAAAAGAGTGTAAAATAGTGCCAAGTACGGTAAATCATATTCTGATAAAACTTGTTAAATAAAGCAAAAGTGCATGATAGCTTCATATTAGTGAAAGTCGGCGCCAAAAATTACTTACTTATATAAGTGTGAAGACTATCCAGCGACACGGCTAGAAGTTGTCTAGGGCTGCCTTCGTACAAGGTTTACAAGATTTATTTCCAATACATGTAAAACTGCCTTTTAAGCGGAATAAATAGATTACATAAAAACATTACGTAACAAAAAATTGAAAATGAAAAAAAGGGAAAAGAAACAACAAAACCCCTACACAAAACCCCACAATAAAGCAAAACCCAAACATACACACGCACACGCACGCATACTTTCAATAATATTCGTTTAAGATACAAATTACAAGACTTTACAAGATTTTACCACATAAAGACTTAAAGTATTTGTCATTATTAAAAAAATAAGACAACACTACATGTATATATTTCGGAGAAAAAAATCTTTCTTAATATTTAAATTTTGCAATTGAGTTCCACAAAGTCTACAAGATTTATTATTTGTATTTTTTTCTTTATTGTTCAGCTGATTTGCGTTTAATAAAGTTTAATTCGTTCAAATTCATATAAGATTAATACAAATACATTTTTTTATAAAACATACATTTGCTTGGTACCGTTTAAATATTCAGACTCTATTTTTCGGTTCTTTTCTTGACAGGTAGTAAAATGCTATAGATAGTTCTAATATTTGTTAGGTAACAAATTAATATGTGTCAAAATGTCAAGCTTTCACTGATTTCTCTTTAAGAAAATAATTATAATTCCGTTCATATAATTCTATATTTACAAGGTTTACTAATATGTATTGTATCATAGTTTGGAGACCTTTCTGTTGAAAATGTGTCAGGGTTAAATCGTATACATATACATGCACAGTGCGTTAACTGGAGTGCGGGTATTAGTTACCCGCACTCCAGAGCATGCCCATTGATTGGCTCATTTTTGCTGGGGTTTACATATTGTGACGGCAGAGAAAGGGAAAGCGACAGAAATGACATATTCAGATGCTCGTTCATTGGTTCATTTTTGCCGGGGTTTCATATTGTGATACAGGTAACGTGCTTTTATGTTTGACTATGATACAAAAGAGAAAGAACACCAAAACACTCGGCAATCTGATTTATACTCGGGGGCTACGCCCCCTCGTACAAATCAGATAGCCTCGTGTTTCGGTGCTCTTTCTATTACTAAGACATGCATTGAAAGACGTTTAATGTAAGACTTGTAGTGTTATATGAAGGATGTCAGTATCTTATAAGGGTAATAAGACTGATAAACATTCTCGTGAATAAACATGTCTTCAATTGCTTGTCCCTCCAGTGTCGTTAATGCCTTGTTTTTGTTTTTGTTGTTATCGCTAATGGCACTGTAGTCTCAACTCGTCTACTGGCCGAGAATAATTGGATTTTCTCCTAATACCGAAATAACTATGCGAACACAACAAGTACTTGTACATATTCAAATGTACTGTTATTGATAATATAGAGTTTTGAAAGATTATATAGCCGTAGAGTCGAAAGCCAAATCAGCCTTAATACACGGTCATATAACCTGTGTTAAGATTTTTTAACGAATTTGTTATACTTAACGATTTTTTCCACGATAAGAATAAATTTTATGCATACTACTAGTATACCATCAGTCGTCTATATAGAAGGTAATAATACAACGTCATAATTATCCAATGAAAATCGACATTACGAACGTGCAGAATTGTAGAAAACACATATACAATCACTGAAATGATAACGATTAAGATAAATAGGAATATAACTAATTTTAAATGGAACAAAGAGAAATGAAACAGTAAAAGTAGCCGCTGAGATGGTAAAATTATGAAATAGAATGGAAATACCCCAGTGAAACGGGGAAAAAATTGATGAGTTATAATTGAAACCAAGTTTGAGTATACACACGAGGGATAATTAAACATGCAACCTTTATAACGCCGTTAATCACAATCTCAAATACTAAAAAAGTTATATAGACTCAAAGATCCCAAATGACCAGAAATGTAGAACTACATTAAGATGATTATTAACCTCGTCTTACAGCTGCAACAAAACCATTACCATCTGCTGTTGTATGTATTGAAATTCTAAACATGGAGAGATTAATCAAAAATAGTGAAAAAAGAAAATAACAGACTCGGTATTGGTGCACGTTGATGTAAGTATTGTCATAGTGCTGTCCGATCATGACAACGATAGACACATTTACAACAAGTGGTACGCAGAATGTTTCAATCAACATGCTTAATCACGTGTCCGAAATCTAAAACTATTTCACAATGATTCGATAATTCTGTCAAATCGTTAAAACTTATATGATACACTTCCCTTTTCGTCTAATATGATAAATATCTAAAACGAATGTTTACGTCAAAGTAAAAACTGCCAGAATTTACATGAAGACAGTAATATAAATGTATATTACAATAATACAGAACAGAACAGAATTTTATTTACAGACTTTTACAAAAGATTTGATTAAACATAGTCACATTACATGCGAAAACCTACAAATTATAACAACATTTTTAAATAAATAAACAATGATTAAAGAGAACAAACTTTATGCAAGAAGATAATAACAATTCAATTAGGATAAGAGTTCAAGATTGTGTTTCTCAACGATAAAGATTCTTGGATATATTTTGAAAACTTAATTAAAACAGTTTTATTTTGCGATGAAAGTAGATCAATAAATTTAAACACAGATGGTCTAACATATTTACATTTTATAAGATACTGTATTCGAAGACTATTAAAACAAGCGCATACACATATAAAATGATATTCATCTTCTATGTCAAATGTATTGCAACATAAACAATATCGGTGATCACGAGGTGTATCATTCCTATTATATCTCCCAGTCTGTATTCTTAAAGGATGTACAGATAATCTTAATCTACAAAAATGATATCTATTTTTACGAGGCAGAATATCAAGATAACTTTCATAACAAATATAAGCTTAAAAGTCTTGTAATTAAATAAAACAGGGCTACGTTTTAACGAAGCTACCCTTTCTTGTTTAAAAGTGTCTATAACTCAACGTTTAAAGATGATAGGGAACACTTTTGCATCAACGCATTTTTCATTAAAAATTTCAGCAAAACCATAATTACAGAGTGGCTTTTTAACATTTTAAACCCTATTGCGGTGTCCTTTATAACAATCAAATAAACCTTCTTCATACATAGTTTTGAAAACAATACTATCAGTGTTTTTCAACTTACACCCAAACATGACAATTCTTACGTAACGAGTCATATACAGCGGATAACGCCCCATATAACTCAACATCCAGCAGGCTTAAGGAAGGTCGTTGGTTCTACCCGGGTGCCTGCTTGTGTCTGAAATAATGCCCAGAGAGGCACCTGGGGTCTTCCTCCACCAATAAAAGCTGGAAAAAATCGACGAAAAAAATCTCGGCGGGACGCTCTAGGATGGCCCGACTTGAGTGTACGGTCGCCCATATGGGCTTTCCGGCGGCGACCTAAAATAAACGCATTAAAAAAAAACTCACCAGATACTTCAGCAGACCAAGTTATTGTTCAACGTTTACAAAATTTTAAGTGGATTCTTTCCAATTCTTTAGATTTCGTGTAACTTCAAATTTCATACCCATATCCTAAAATAGACCCAATGAAAGCATCAAATAATTGACATAATATCTTAGGTTTAAGATCAAACTTTTTATAATTGTAAAACAAAACATTAAGACCTTTTAAAGCATACCCTACCAAGTGTTTCTTGTTAAGCGAAAAATTGCCTGTATAATTAAAAACATTAGGAAATAATTAAAATCATTCACATCTTCAAAAATTTGGCCATGATAGGTCCAGTTCTCATTTTGTAATAACCCCCCCCCCCCCCCCGTTTCCGAAAAACCATTACTTTTTACTTTTAATCCCCATGTAGAGCAATATGAATGTAAAAGATCCAAAATACAATACAATAACAATTCAATAACATTAAATAAAATACAATACTGTCGATTCAAATATGATCGAGAATGGGAAATCTTATATTTAAAAGTACATAGAGGTGGCAGGAAAAAAGCCATATACGAAACGACATTACCAGAAAGGAGGTGATTGAAAATCATCTGGCTTGATCGTGTAGTGGTTATAGTGCTTGTTCTGCATGCGGAAGGTCGAAATTTCAAAACCCAGATGGGGGTAACACATTTTGCATTTTATTTTTTTTTTTTTTACTTTTTATTTTAGATACTTGTAAAGATATTTTCCAA